TTCCAAAGCCGTCGCCCTGCCGACGGCACATTTTTCTTACTTACGACGCGAAAGCGATACGTTGCGAAACAGAGACAGTGTGACACGAGTATTATTCGAGACGTTTAGACTTTCGATTTCACCGGTTCTTTTATCTCTGCCTCTGTTGAGAGGATTCACATTTATCTTCGAAATGCGTCCGCTCAACCACGCTTGTTACAACGAGCTGTAGCCTCCGACTACCGAGATTGCAACCAGCGAAATATCCGATCCCGATTCCAATACAATGGAAGCTTCAAACTAAGTACGATTAATTGGCTCTCTGTCTTCGGCTAGCTAGAAATTCAAACGAAAATATATATGAAAAGTTCATAAACGACGTTTTCAGGAACAGAAATCCATCGCTCGATTTCACTCTCTTCGCGCAAGCGAATTCGAACGTTACTTGAGCAATTGCCCATCAAATCAAGTCCTTTAATGAGACACTTCAATTAAAACTAATCGTAATTGCAATTCGTATACGTGATTGCTGGTATATTAATCACGGGAAGCACGGGAACACGGAGAGAAAATAGTGATTTATCGTCGTTCATCTCTTGAAATTTCAACATTCACGCTCCATCGCTGACACTGTTCGGTCACTGTATTATCCGCGAATGATCCTGTCTCTCTCGATAAATTACGATACTTATTTACACCTACTCGTGTATCGCGTTCAAGCAAACACAGGCTGTGAATACCTGGAACCGCTCGGCGCGGTGTCTGTAATTGATTACCTCCGTAATTTAATTACGATCATCTGGCTGATGAGTGTATGTACGAGTTAAATGAAAGCGCCAGAGCTCTCCCCAGCCAGCCAACGATCAACAACAAGTTTCGTATGTTTACGGAGCGGTTGCGTTTTCCATCGGTTAGATTTATGCCAGTGGACTGAACGGAACGACAGCTACGCAGCTATGACGAATCACGGCACGCTTGATTGACTGTCATCCTCTTTCGAACACGCTGCGACGACCAACCAAGCTTACTTACACGCCAGTCTCTCACAATCGGACGATCAGAGACGAGACAGGCTTTCTTGCAAGCCGCATATTCGATCGCCACCAGGAAGCCATCTCCTCAGCCGAGGCCGATTACGTCGTCGTCGACCACGTCTTGAAATATTTCCGTGGCTGGCTGAACAAGCGCATAGAACAACACGATCAACGGCAACGTGAAAAAGAACATGTTTCACGCAAACGTATCTCGCTTGAGGAATGTGCTCGGTCCCAACCTTCTCTCGTAGCCATCTCTCTAACAAGGGCCGTTTCCCGTAAACAATGTTTTTCAACCGTTCTCGATTCCTGTTAATTGCGCCCGGCCTCCACCACACAGATCGATTATTCGACTTTTTAAAGTTACATTCTCGCGAGTCAGTTGAATGGGAAAGCGCGTTACAATTACGATCGTCTGTCTGCCTGCCCGGACGTTTCCAGAAAGAAATCTGCCGTACTGTTACAATCGATCGTTATAACGGAGAGACAACTTTTTAGTTTTTAACGAACGTCTGATTCTCACGATCTCGTCGAGCCCAGTCCACTTCGAAAAGGACCAGAGATCTATCAAATATCGTTGGTCGTGGTTGTTTCACCATTACTAGCAAATTACTATCTATCGGAATCGTTCATCTATCAGAAGCGTAATCGATTATTTCGTAATCACCGAGACAATCGACGAGTCAACCTTCTCGGTCATACGTCAGCCAATACGAATCAACCAATCACGCTCTCATTGGCCGATGAATCACAAGGACGAGGTTACTTCTTTTTCTCTCACGCTGCGTTCGTATAAATCACCGCGCTAGATAATGACTGTTTCACTAACTTTAATTTCAGTGAACTTAACTTCAGTTAAGTCTCGCACGTGTTACCTGAATTTAACTCTTTCCACATCGAATAACTAGACTTCAATATCATACGTTACGTTTGTGAGATACGATTCAAAGGTGATGAAAAGGTGAATCGAATCACAACTCAGACAAAGTCACTGATAAAACGTCCCAGACGATAATTTCGCTCGGTTACTCGAGTTACTCGAATCGAGTAATTGCTTGAATTCACTTGGTTACAGGCTGACGCGCTGAACGAGAAACCTTCCGAGAAACAACTGGTGGCAATAAGAATCGATTCGCGGCAAATCATACGCGCCATCTAATCATCGCGCCAAGCGAGACCTCCTAGCATGATGCACAAACGTCGAGGATACCGCTCCTGCAAGTACTTGCACCACCAACCGTCTACAAAGTATAATCCCCGATGTGAAAACAGGCAAACAAAGAGCTGGCATTTGAATGCCAGCGATTGGCACGATCTTCGTGATCATGCGAAATCGCGACTTCCATGCCTCTTCTGCCTCTTTGGTCTTTGTCAATAACGCCCCGGATCCTCATCTCTCTCGGTTCGCGTACTTTGTTCGTGACATTCAGTTTTCACAGCCACACCACCATCCTGCCCTCGTCCCGTGCCCATTTCCATTTCGAAATTCCAAAAGAACGCCAGAAGAACGCGTCCATTAAAAAAATAATGGTTTAATAATTCCTATTACTTCTCGCAAATTCGCAAGAGAGATTAGATTAAATAATTGAAATAAAAGTAGTCGTCAAAGCAAAGATACTACCGAATCGTTAATCTAATAAAACAGTAGCTCTGCGTCGTTTTCTATTTCATGTGGTTTTACTTTCTCATGTGGTTAGCGTTTAGTGATAAGTCAGCATCGTACGTTTTTACGACGCAGCTAATCAACTATCGAGTTTTTCATCTCTTCGGTCAAAGTTGCGATACCCTACATTTTTGTACTTGATACTTTTATTCAATTTGTTCAACTACATTGTACCATATCGGTACAAAAGAATAAGACAATAATACTAACGTCAAGTGATAGGTACGAGTAATCGATACTTGACGTTTTAAAATCTATAATTTTCAAATTGTAGTCAAATCAAAACTTAATCTTGTAGATACTTCAAAACAATTTGGAGATGCGAATGCTATATCGAGTTTCAACGTTACTTTGTTTTCTCGCTAATTCCTTTTATTTTTCTTATCGAGATGAATCAAGTCCGCAGAAATTTTACTTTCAACTAACAATAAATAGTAAATTATAAATTTACAATTACATGTCATGATAGGCACTTGAGTCTCGTCTATTCGCATCCATGTATTTGAGATAATAAAAATTCCATGTATCGAAAGCTGCAGTAAATATTGTACCTGTTCATATGGATTGAACAAATTATTGTATTTACAATACAATACGGCTTTAAGTACAAGTAAATATAAAACACGTAAGACGATCAAAACTCTTTGACAACGAAATATTCTAGTCATTTATTGTTGGAAATGATTCGATCATCAGTCGATAAGTTTCATTTCTTTTATATCTATAAAAGGTATTTTCATGAAGCAACTGACATAATTTTTTTAATTAATTCTAAAAACTATAATTCGCCATCGCTATCGTAATTCATCAGCTTATATTATTTGATAATTTATAATTATTTAAGTATGAAATAACTATAATAGCACATTTTATTTACATAAGGCTAATAAATATCTACTAATTAAATATTACTGTACTGGAAACTGATTGACTTTAATTAGCTGCACCATATAATTCAAAAATATTTCCACGATTTTAGTGCAAGAAGTTTTTGTTCGCTACAAAAAGGAGCATTTTATAAACGTAATATTATTAAAAGAATTGTGATCATTTGTACAATTGTAATCGAAACAATCATGAAATATGTATATCGCGACAATAAAACGCATGTTTGTTTAAAAGAAAAGCTGTTTTGGTTAAAAGTTATGGCAAATTAATTTTAAACAAAATAAAAAGCAATATATTCTAATATTATTATTTAAGAATTTACAACAATTTATGAATAAAAACACTAAAGCAAAAACGATCATTATTATTCCGTAACTCTAATGCAAACAGAAATAAATACTTTTTCGCAATTTTAATTCGTAACGTGAAAAATTGGGAATCAATATCTCCAAATACTAATAAAAAATCGCGACTTGTCTAATGTGGTGGTGATCAAATTTCGACAGAAAAAGAAAAGAAATACTACTACATATACTACAATTCTACATACTACAAATACTGAAAGCGAGCACAGTGACAAAATAGTAACAAGAATGACTTTCCATTCTTTAGGTTGGAGATTTCCCATCGAAAGAATAGAAAGCCATTAGTAGTTGCCCTCTTCTATGGCAATTTGCCGGGCCTCTTCAGCCTATGGCCTCTTCTTTCTTCGAGCGCAATGCTCGCTGAAACTTACAACTGAGGTCGAGTCTTTCTAGTCGCCAAACAAAAAAATGACTGATGAAATAAAAAAATACATCACGAAAGCTTGATTCAATTGGGCATTTATATGCTTAAGCAATAGATTAACATTCGTTTCAAAACTTCTTCACGACTTAGTTGCGACTACGACCGCGAAATTTGAAAAATCAATGGACAAAACTAGAAACGAGGCATGCTCCACTCGTACCAGCTGTACCCTCGATTTCTCAAATTTGATTTCCAGTAACAAGTTGGACACGCAATCAGAGATGCTGACTGCGCCAACCTGTTCTGGACCTACCTACTTATAATTAAAACAGTCATACCAGACAGTAAACTACCTATCCTATCCAGCAGCCCTATATTTAAAAAATGGCAAAAAACAGACACACCAACACACTCGCTCCACGGTTCTCACACATACACCCGGGCGCACAGCCTACACTAGAGAGGATGTCCCGGGACACCTCCGACACCCGAGTTTAGCACACAACATTCTAATTTACGCACTCTAATTTACGTACCAGTTCCCTGAAATCGACCGACGAGCGCTAGCGATCATTGCGTAAAATATGATAAATATAATATGTATCTTGATTTTAATTAAACATTCATAGCTCTATTGTTATTTTTTATCTATTCTTCATTACTATGTAGAATACAATGATTGAAATTGATAATACTATTTAAATAAGAGCAACACCGACACAATTCCACAGCCTAACTACACATCACAATGTAGAAAATACGTCGTGCACAATACGCTAACGTCATTAGTCGCTGAGAAATTATTAAACTTATAAACTAGGATCATCATGCTCATTGCCTTTCTCTCACCCAAGTAGCACCTGGGCACGTGAGCGATGTTCTGGTAATGAACACGGAAAGAGTTAAACCTGAAAATCCTGAGCTAAAGACATGATTAGCATATTTATTTGATATCTAACGGGCTAATACTCCTTAATATTGCATTTTCTTAATTTATTTTGATCCTCACTTCATAATTTACTTTGATAATAACTTTGTAAATTATTGAGATACTGTACTTGAATATTGAAAGTTAATAATGAACATATTTGTTGAAAGAGAAACCAAGATTCAATACAAATAAGAAGTAAAATATTGATAAAAATATCCTCAGACAATCCATCATCAAAGTATATCTTTGAAAACATAAAACAGCGAAACTGTTACTTTGATTCTGAAATCTGTCTGTCGCGAAGTGTCTTGTTGCACGTAAAAGATATAATCAATAATAATCATAGCAAAAAGGTTAATATATAATACATGTAATTATAATGAATACAATCTGTGATATCTAATCACAGACACTGTTTATCAATATCACGATATTCGTCTCGTATAATAATATATCAATGTTATACTCATATTAATAATTATTGATGTTTTATTACTATTGTTAAAAAACGCAATGTGCAAGAAAACCTATCCTGAACTAAAACAATAAACAAGAAAATGTTACTATTCACAGGTATAATAAATACCCGTGGTCACTATGCTCATCAAGAATTTCACGTAATACAACCAGTCGCTCGTGTCGATTCGGATCTTTCATCCTACGACATGATTGAGCAACCAGAGGAACGAAAATGCATGCGACTCACTGTTAGATCTGAAAAATAAGTCGTCAAGTCCATCCTCAAACAGAAATCTTTGAACAAAAACTGAAAGAAATCTGTAACAAAGTATGGAGTATTATATATTTTACTTAATATTAGATTCAAAAATAGAAAATGCAAACTTGTCAAATTTTTGATCAGTCACTGACTTTTTAATTAACAATAATTTAACAAAATTTATGAATTATTGTCAATTTACTATGAAATAAATTAGTAAATTATTATTATGTATTGTAAGAAAATTCCTTAATATATATAGAAATCGATTCGCAAAAGTTACATTTCGAATATCCAACATTAAAGTTTCAAATATATTTTATACTGATCAAATATGGCTTCTGCGAGTTAAACAAAGCTGCGCAGTACATAAAGGATGCGATGCGCAGTATACGTTCACATTTCTCTGTCCCTTCCCGAAAAGAGCTTGTCTTTACTAATATAAATCAAACATTATCTTACCTTTCTATCGACGTTCGATGAATATTAATTGTTAGAGTTCAACGTTCTTCTGAATTTGATAGCACTCTGTTGAATTTTTGTCTCTCTTTAATGCTCTTTTCAATGCAAGCTTCTCCCTTGGGAATCAAAGATCTGTACAAAAGCGAGCAAGATCAAAACTTTCGAATAAATATATAAAAGGGACAAATTACGTATGAATTACTGAAGAGACTTACATAAACGTGATACAAACGGTGACTTACATAAATGCGATACGAAAGACTGATGATGAAAAAATTATGCAGTTACTAAACAATGAGCGTGTCGATACATTCTAACGCCACAAACGTCAGTTACAGACTAACCTCCCCCTTTCCGCGCAACAGGTTCGCGTCACGGGATAATTTGGTAGAATGGCGATAAGAGTGTGTACGGAGAGAATTCGACTACAACACAAAAGTGTTTTCGGTCATTGTTTTGAAATTTCGTTAACAAAAATCGCATGACAGCCTCATTTAATCGACATAAAAGTTTACATCCTTCATATACTTCTATAAATTTCTCTATATGGAAATGTGTACATTTATAAACATCACACTTATAAACATCGATAATCGTGCCGCTGTTTTATATTGAAAGCATATTTGACAATACAACGATAAATATATTAATTCTAACCTTTACCTGACAATTTCTGGATAATGCTTCTTTTCGTTATATCTCCTGTCTGAAACTGACATTTTTAGGTTAATGCCAATTTTATGGACTATTAATTCATGACAATTACGTGTATTGTGATTAAATGTGAAGTTGACTACGGATACAATTGACATGACATTCTGAAATACCGACTATGAAAAAAAAAAGTGCGAGTTATTATAGCGATTATGAAATGATAAAGTTAGCAGCATTATCTTTATGAAACAGTCAATTCGAATGATGATTTCGAACAATACTTATAATAGTATTTGCCTTGTCCCCAATATAGAATATAGAATAGATAGGGAGCGTATGTTCAATTCGATTATCGATAGTTAAAAGTACATATGTATATTTTCATATACAGAAATTCACGGGAATAAATATAATTTATATTATATTCTAATAAAATAGAGAAAACTTTTTTGTCAATTCAAAACAATCAGAAAGAGTTATTAGATATACATATATTCAATTCGATTATCGATAGTTAAAAGTATATATGTATATTTCATATACAGAAATTCACGAGAACATATAAAATATAAAAAACTCTGTCAATTAAATAATACTATTACACGATTGTATTGATAAAATTTCAAAATAATCAAAAATTCATGGTTGAAAACATTTTCATAACATATTTCGAAATCAATCGAATCTACTACGCCTCCACCCTACCAAATTACTTCCGGCTGCGGGACGAGGGGGATAGTTTATGACTAAAGATCGTCGAGATGATGTCCACCGCGCATGACGTTTATTAACTGCGTACGTAATTCATTCTCTTTCATTATCACTGTTTATATCCTTAATCGATGTATTTTATCAGTAATCCTTATACAATTTCTCTCTTTTATGAATTTATCCAAAAGTTTTAATTTTCTTTTGTATAGATTCTTGGTTGATTACGAAACTTGGAAGTACTAAAAAGATGCCATGAAACTCAACAAAATGCTACAAAATTTGGAAAGACACCGCATTATGACAATTAATGCTGATTCTGACAGATTCTTATGGAAGTAAGGTATTTGATTTATTCTGATAAAAACGAATTCCTTTCGAGCAGGAACGGGATATTTGAATGTCTTCTGCTCATCGCATCTTTTATGTACTGCGCACTTCGTTTAATGGACGAGAAAAATGCGCCATATTTAATCAGTATAAAATATATTTGAAATTTGTTGGGCATAATTTTTGCAAATAAACTATATTGAAATATTAATAATTCAGATATTTTGCAGTATTAGAGATTTTTTTTTTACAATACATAGAAATAGCAATAATTCATAATGTTCTTGAATTATTAGTTGAAAAGTAGACTCTGATTAAAAATTTAACAAACTTATATATTGTATTTTTGAATTAAATATTAGATGAAAATTATAATAATACTTTATTGCAAATTTCTTCCAGTTTTTGTTTGGATTCGAAGATTTCTGTTTGGCGGATTTGACAGTAATTTTGCAAAGACCATAACAATGTGCTTCGCTTCTAATGGTGAGTCGCATGCATTTTTGTTCCTCTGGTTGCTCAATCATGTTGTAAGATAAAAGATGCGAATCAACATGGTGACCGGTTGTATTATGATGAGTATAGTGACTAGAGATATTGTGCATAGTAACATTTTCTTGTTTTATTTATTACATAAAGACAGACACATCACGTTTTTTAATAGTAATACTAAAGCATTCATAATTATTATAAATGTAACATCAACACAATGTTACCAATACGAACAATTGATATGAATATTACTAATGTGATTATATTACTAATATGATTATCTACACAATATTACTAATATGAACAATTCATATGAATATTATGGCAACAATTATTGTAATCAATAGTCTACGTGTACAGCTTTTGCAATAATAAAAAATTTATCTGAATTCTAGAAAGTCATTCTTGTTACTACTTTGTCACTATACTCACTTTTAATCTTTATGGGTAATATTATTGTTTTCTTTTTCTTTTTTTGTTCAACGTGCATATTGAATAAATTAATTCAAAAATTTTGAACCAATATTTCGAACAATTGATTAGACTTGTGACATTTGCATTAATGTTACAGAATAATGATAATCATGTTTGCAATAATAGAAAAGTTTTCAACTTTTTTTTTTCTTTTGATAGTATGTAACAAACTAAAAGTTTCTGCTGATTAGATAATTTTATGAAGAAGTATGAATATTCATACCTCATTCACAATTATGAACTATTTTTCTTTTTGCAATCATACTATTTCTAATTTTTTTAAATTTAGTTCCAATTTGAACCACACTCTTCTTATTCTATACTAAATCGATAATGTCGCATGTGACATAAATATAGCAAGGCAAGCATCTCATTTCCCTAAAAATATAAACCACTAGAAAGCATTGTATCATAGATGAGATCCATACAAATCTCGTTTCTAGCACAGATTAGTTTATAGTATTTACATTGACTGGGGGAGATTAATAGTTTTTGATGAATGATATTTTTCTTTTTTTGAATTCTGCTTACTATGATACGTACAAAAGTGCCATCTGGAAAGAATACTCAACATCTGATTGACTGTTCACACTCAGTAGGTAAATCATTTTCTATAGAACCATCTCTTGGTCAGTAATCAACAGATAAGAAAGTAAACGCAGTTGTTTTGAAATAAATTTTTTTTTTTTATTACGAAATGTGATGTAAAACGTTATAATAAATTATTAAATATAGTAACCATTTATAAATATCTAATATAAATATAAATATATGTCACTTATAAATAGGCTTATAATATAAATACCTAATTAATAATACTGAACAATACATGAAACAATTACATTGCAATAGTTGTCTTTCGCTGATATATTTGCTAATAACGATTATTTGTCAGAAAGATAGTAATTTTCTTCCAGAATCTAAAATTCTAATTGGACATCACCTTCGAAAAGGCAGTTGAAAGAGGTACAATTGTTTTCAATAAATAAATATCATTCTATATAAATAAATGATGCATCTCATCGAATGTAATGAATAAATAATAAATACTAATTCTAATGCTCGATGATTGTCATAAATAACTTTATGAATAAATAAATTAAATAACGCGATGTCACTTGAAATACGTTTCGCAATGGGTCAGGTTATCTCAAACCGTTTTATCACAGCTGACTTTAGCTGTTGTCGTCTATTAGTCATGCATATTGTGACACGACTCTGCTTCTCTCGACGATCATTGTTGGTAGGTGTTAATATTGTCCCCTGTGCTTCGTTAATTTCGCTCTCAATTATATATGACAAGTCACATTTTTTTTTGTCTTTCACTAAGAAGCAATCTTTAAATTCAAAATACCCCATTATGGATTGATCTCATTTAAACAAAGTTATCCTTCTGTTTGATCTTGAAATTGAAATTTATCTTTGTATATTTAAAAAATATCACGAATGACGTTAGTTGGGCTAGTGATTTTTTACAAAATTCTAAGATGTTTCCGTTTAGCTACGAATTAACTACGAAAATTATTAAATCGAGAGACCATGACCGTCATATTACTCTCATGATCTTGATGAATTGCTGTTGGAATAAAGAGACAGCGCCTCTTTCCAGTAATTTGAATAAACTGAACAGCCTAAGATCATGCCATAGGCTTATGATTTAAATATTGCTGCAAATCCTCCGAATTGTTTCCATCAATTTTGTCGTACAGCTTCACAAACAAAACGTCAGACATTTTTTCCTTTTTACCATTAAATTTGAACGTTGTTGTTTGTTCCGACGCTATTTAATAATTGAAAACGTGCCTCCAAGCGTGAAGATAATCTCTGTATTTGAGAAGCACGCCCCAGTCACGAATAAGTCTTCTAGTATCGTCCTCGGGCTCTCGTTCTGCGTTCTTCATGATCCTCCTTGCCACACGCGATGGAATCCGAAGGGATGGCAGAGCCATGATATTGCTTTCTACTTCGCACAACATCATCATCAAATACGATTGCGTCATCTTCAGAGCTTTGTACTTCTTCCGGATCGTCTCGTCGTTCACCAATTCCTCGAACGCAACCGCAAATTTTTGAAGATCGACGTGCAACTTTGGAAAGTGATTGACGATCTGTAAGAAAAACGTAAATCCCTTGTCACCTACGATATACATATACATACATATATATCTACGTCTCGATGACTCGATGTACTGGCGTCCATGTGATTGGATATTACGAATGATTAGATAATGTAGAGCTCTGTGACTCAAAAGTATTTGAATGCAAAATTATTTCCGACAACTTTATCAGCCTCTCCTTACAATTAACGAAAGGTAAAGAACGGGGAAGTAAAGAACGCGCGATCCGTGGAATAATCGACACGCTCTCTCTCTCTCTCTCTCTCTCTCTCTCTCTCT